AAAATAGCCCACGCTGCCTTTTTTTAGACTTTTTTTTTTTTTAACAAAGTCTCTTGATTTTGCTAGCCCCTATGTAACGTGATTACTATATGCGATGACGGCATAGCTTTATTGAATTAAATGTGTTCAATAGTGGATGTTCTCTGATATCCCTGTCCATAAGACACAGATTGTAACTCTCCATATAACTAATGCAGGCGGGAAAGAGCAAAGAAAACGCGAAATAGTATGTATGTATGTATGTATGTATGTATGTATGTATGTATGTATGTATGTATGTATGTATGTATGTATGTATGTATGTATGTATGTATGTATGTATGTATGTATGTATGTATGTATGTATGTATGTATGCATGCATGCATGCATGCATGTATGTATGTATGTATGTATGTATGTATGTATGTATGTATGTATCTATGTATGTATCTATGTATGTATCTATGTATGTATCTATGTATGTATCTATGTATGTATGTGACTATTTTAATGTAATGTATATTTTATTCATGGAAATTTTACAGTCACGACGTCGAAACAAATTTACGTGTCTATCAGTCAAAGTTATGTGCAATTTTGTGCATGGCTAAGGTAATCGATAAAGTTATCGAATAACCGAAAAATCACCCTCCAAATAAAACTATATCTAACTAAACCACGCTCCAACCCCAAACCATATCTAACCAAAACAAGCTCCAATTGCAAATGAAAAAGTAACGCAATGACATTAAACAATACTTCAACATGCTACACAAAACCAACCTTTTACTCTTTCTGGATAATATCTTCATGCTGATGCTTTTATTGTTGTTGAGAAGCAGACATCATGTACATTTTTTTTAAATAATTATTTAATTTCTATATTTACCACGTTTTTCATTTTTCCGACAGACACTACTTGCATTTAAAAATAAAAGTTATCACATAATTTGTGAAAACGATGCAATTCAAAGCATTTTCTGTGGAATATAACTTGTCGTTCTTACATCGTCACCGCTCAAAAGCGTACTTTTTTTTGCTACTCTGAATGTAGTAATGTGCTTGTGTAGTCAATGTTCTCTTAGCGAACTCTGTGTAAAGTGTGTAAAATAAAGTAGACATTAATTTGTACATTGTGAAGTTCAAGAACGAGAGAAGCAACGCTTGCAGTGTGGTACCAATTATTGCGGTTATTTTAACATTTTACTAATGTGAAAGACGATAATATCATTCTATCCATGAACTCATCCAAGTCCACATAGAAGATTAGTTTTGCTGTTCTCTTTTTGAAAGATAGGGCAACGGAATTGTTACAATGAAGTGAAATTTTTCAATAAGATTTTGTTTTCTCTTGATAAATATAAAATCGTGTTAGTTTGCTTCAGTTTAAAATATAATTCATTGCGAACGTAACCTTCTTACCGCGAGCATCTGTGTTCTCAGTCTAAATTATAGCAACCGCTGTCATTGGCCAGAAACTTCAGAAGCGCCTTTTTTTTTTTAAAGACTTTGTTCCAAATTTTGCAGGCCCGATGTTTAAAAAAAAGCCTTGCATTTGCATCTTATAACTATCGCTACCCAGAATTGCTTGGTTGTATGTGTACAGCAGTGTTGGATTTCGCAGACGATGAATACTCTTGTAAAGAAAAGATACACCGATAAAAGTTACGCTACCAAAAGCCATCATTTATATTACCAACGGATAAGATATAAAATGATTCTCAACGTCCGATATGTGTTATCAATATATATATATATATATATATATATATATATATATATATATATATATATATATATATATATATATATATATATATATATATATATATATATATATATATATCACAGTCACACTCCACCTCAGTAATTTCTGCGAGTCATAAAATATGCGTCGGATATCTGAAAGGGCAGTAATTTACAACTTCCCCCAACAAAAACAAAACAGAAATCCCAAACAAAAAACATCCCACCCCTAAACCAAAACAAAAAACTCAAGACAATATCGGAAATTTGTTCGCTAGAAAGAAATTGCGGTTTAATTGGAAGGCATCTGCTTTTTCTATCATTAATTGACTGTATTGGTGGCACTCACCAGTAATTATGTACTTTTGAGAGAGTGATGTATGTAAGTTGAATTTGTTTGCATTTTAAACATGCACAGTGGAGAGAATGTTGGCATACCTATATACTACTTTCATGTAATGTGGCTGAAATTTCTTTGGATATTGTACTTTTGGAAATTGTAAATGATCTTAGCACTCTGCTAACTAAAATGACTGCTCCATTGTGCTCCAAAAATCAACCTGAATTTGTCTAAGTACACTTTCCTTGGCAGCTATTAAAATAGGGAAAAAGAATTTTGCCAAACTAGACAATACCAGGTTCTAAAAGTGCATAGAATGACTTACCAAATACATAATATGTAAAAAAAAGTTATCGGCTCTTTTTTTTTACAATTTACCTTTGAAGTTCGGGAAGTAAAAATGAGCAAGTAGAGCAAAGTTTAATTGCATCAATGCATTATCATGCATTAGAAAAATAGTTACTATTTTTGGCAAAACGATCTGTATGATCTCTCGAGAATATATGT